CAGAAAAAACGTAATACAATACACGCTGCGTAACTCCTTTCTTAAGTCTCGGAGGTTTGCCGGGCCTCGGCGTTGCCTCGGCCCGTCAAATCCACCTCGACAAAAAAGTTTACTTACGCAGCTTGTAATGTAAATAACTATTGATCTGCAGTGTTCACAGTTTAAGTTTTTTAAGGTTTTGACGATCCAGCCAGAGACGTAACCTATTATGCTTTTGTGAATTTCTTTTTCTAACTGAAAATCAAGAAGTCCTGAAATATATTTATCCACATTAAATACTTCGGTTGAAATTTCATGACTTTTGCAACTGTGATTTTTTATGTTGTCTACTAAGTTTCTAATATTGAATAAATCTGGAACATTAGTTTCCTCGCAGTTTGTCCCTATTGCTTTTGATCCAAAAAATTCTCGTATCATGAGTGATTTAAAACTATCTCTAAACTGTAATGCTGTGGGATTAATAGCCTGATTTCGTTGATTTCTAATTTTGCCAAAATAATTTTCTATAATGTCTTGATTTAGAGATCTAGTTAAAAAAATTTTTGATTTTCCTTCATAAATCAGTATTTCATACAATTCTAAAAATCCTTCCAAAGTGTATATCCAATTTTTCAAACTTGGCGGCACAATTTTCTTTCCATTTTTGTCAATAAAATACATATTTTTCAAATTTTGAATCGCTTCTTTCCAAAATGTTGTATGCCCAGAATTTTTGAACACACCTCCGCGAAGAGGCTTGCCAGCATGTGAACGAAGTGTGCCACCATTCACACTATCGAAAAGTTTATCAAAAAAATTGACGATTTTCGCCGTTCCTAGAGCTTGTTCTTGAAGCTGACCTAATACACAACATATTTAGTCGGATTAAAATTAAATATAGTCAAAAACATACCGGTTTTAACTAATAAAGAAATAGTTGAGGCCATAGAATGGCTAAGAACCTGAGTAGCGTAGCAGACTTTCATTTTTGGTATTTTATTGGTAATAACATGTAAGTCAGTAATCTTTTGCAGAGCTCGTAATTCACCACAAGGCTGATCATTGAAATAAGCGTCTAAAATATGTTTCCATTCCGCTTTCAAAATTTCATTATTCGTTTCCCATACCAAATCTTTAGTTAATAAATTATTTCTAACACCCTTGATAAGATGTGGTGGATCATACAGAGGAATAATTTCGTCATTACCAATTATAATTCTTCTTTTTATTGTTTCGTTACGGCTTTTATAAATTTGTTGCAATTGTTTTAATAAGAAATTTATAGCAGCTTGATTTGGTTTTCCTTGATCACAGATTATTGCTTTGACTTTTAACCCACAATTTTGAACTTCAGTGACTATCAGTTTTATTACATCGACTAAGACATTGGATTTTGTGGCTGATGACGAGAATCTAAATAACATGGGCTGTTGCCATTTTTTAAAAATCCCACGAAGATAAAACACTAGAACGTGATCTGCAATTTTCAGGTCTGACGTATTTTCATCCAAGTCTTGAAAACCATAAAACTGATCATTGCTTTTATCATAATCTAGATGCGGCATTATCGACATTTCATCGAAAACGACAGAACACATTTTGTCTCGGTTTCTCAATTTTGAAACTGCTTGTTTTAAATTATCAAATATTAGTTTATTGTAGCCTGCATTTAAGGGTACTTTGTTCAACATTGACATAATTGTATATTGTAATAGCTGTCTTAATTTCGTGTAAGCTCTCCCAGGCTGTTTATATAACGCTAGTGCTAACACTTTTTCATCAGTGGTATACCTGCGGCCTTTAGTTTTAATATTTCGTTTTCTTAATTGAGATAAACAGAAATTGACTGCGGTGTCATCCAGAACCTTGCTGTTTAGTTTCATATCAAATTGTAAAGCTAATTTCAAACGTTGACGATATTCTGCTGCCCGAGATTTACTTTTTCGTGCTGCCTTCTTGTATTTTAAACAAGAGTGATGAATCATTTCAGCTACAGGAGATAGATTCCTTTTCCTTGTCGATTTAGTATCTTTTAAAGTCTCACATGTTGTTTTTCTATTCATAGTACTGCTTGAAGTGGTGGTTATAGGAGCATCAGGAACATTATTTACGGCAGGCAAAGGCAACGCCTGTATGGGTAGTTGAATCACGAAATCATTTTGAATTTCAACAGATCGCGTTAAAACTGTCGAAGCTGCAGAACTTATTGTCGAATTCCCATTTTCTAAAAGAACTAATTATTGCACTATATTTGAAATTTTTTACTTTACCTGAAGGAATGTGCAACACAGGTACCGCGGTACTTTGAAGTTTATTATTACTGAAGAAATCATTGGCATTAAAGTGTAAATTACAAACCGTGTGCTGGTTATACACCTTTAAGGGGTCAATTTGTACCAAACGGGAATTACCGCATCGTTGTATCCACATATCAAAACGTGCCCGATCTTTTTTGGGATTGGGAAACCTGTGGCGCGTGCCTGTCGTGTTGTAACAAGTATGCACGCTGCAAATTCTCATTTTTTCTTGTCTAGAATGTTACTAATAGTGTAATATTGATTAAACTGACGTTAACAAACTATAACATTCAATTTTAATGACATTATTTGAATTCTTTGAATTTTTTTTTTCATGGCCAAATAGATTGCTACAATTTTGCAACTATTGCGCCCTCTGATGGGCTGTGGTTGGTTCGTAAGAGTAACTGACGACATGATTAAGTTTTCATTCTATATACGATAGTATACCTATTATTATGTTATCTATGCAAAGGCATGGTACAAGGAGACATGGTATAGGCACAGCATAGATAACAATCAGTAGGGACAGCTCGTGTCGGCGCTTTTGTTCTTTCTGACCCGAATTTTAAGCCGTCATGGATGGTCGTTGCCTAAACTATTCCTAGATGTCGCCACCCAATTTAAAAAGTATCACTTCATTTAAAATTTCAAAAAAATATTACAAAAAAAAATACATATTTGTCGACTCGCATAAAGTGCAGGTAATTGGTATGGGTCGACGCAGGTAAGAATAATTAAGGAATTCATGAAACCGGAAGTCCATAGGGATTAAGCGAAAAAAGATATTTGACAAAATGTACGGCTTGGGTCATTTTTACCCACGCGCGACTGCTTATGGGTTAAGCAACGTCTCAAAATAAAACTCAAGATTGTGTAGGTCAAAAAAAAAAATATATATACATGATGAATAAAAAAATTGTTTATTGAGTGAAGGTCTGCTTATATAATTTTTTGTTACGTGTAGTTTGTTTCTTATTACTTTTATATTAAATTTTACCACAACAACGGAATCATATATAATAAATTTTTTATATTTATTTCATAACCACCGTTGTTGTTCGTTTGCGACGACTTTTTAAACAAAAAGTGTGTTATGTTTACTATCTTTTCGAAGAATTCCAAACACGAGGGAGAGAATAAGGCAGGCGCACAACAAGGATCCTGTATGAAAATTCATCGGACGAAGATTTTACCTTTTATTGTGAAAATTACATTTTTATACTATTTGTACAATTCTACTGGAAAAGCAGTCTTAAACAAGCAAAACCGGCAAAAATATTGTAACAAAACTGCCAAATTTCAAATATTTTAGACGTCAGTTGGGCGCCCTCATTCGGTCATAAAGCGAACGACCACCAACGAAAACGGGTCACGAAAAACGGCGAGCCGTCCCTACTGATTGTTATCTATGCTGTGGTATAGGCATCCGATGTACCAATTTAAAAATGGTCTGCGCATCCATTTGTGACGTTAGGTGGCATCAACGACCTTGTGATTCTTGTGAGCTTCGCTAGGGAAGTCTAGGGAATTTCAGCTTGAGTTGTCATTGCTCTGTCCAATACGTCAATTAGTTGTCGGATAACGAATTGTATTTTAAATTTCGCGCTAATTTCACCCCACTTGACGTCACACCCGATGCGTATGCCTATACCATGTCTCCTTCTACCATGTGCAAAGGTACCATACGTGCTGCCATCTATTAATAATTCAAAAACGACAAAAGAATTATTAACACTTTTTGAAAGGCACAAAGGCATTCATACCGAAACAAACCACCATTACACGTTTTGAAGTCCCATAATGTCAAGTCAAATTAAAATTTTGCTAAATTATTAAGTGTAATTATTAATAGATGGCAACACGTATCGTACCTCTTTAATGTGACTCGATCTTGAAATGTGTGGCAATTAGTAACTTTTATGAAATAGAAATATATCTGTGTCCTTGTTATGCTCCGTCTTTTCGACAGCAGGTATTTTTTGCTTCCAGTATGGCGATCCTGTTACTGTCATTTGGCCATCAATTGCCTTGGTGGTAACACGTCTTCCACGACTGTTTGCTGGTTACCGGTGACATTTTCTCGTTGAATAGGGCTGGAGTTACTTTGGGACTGGAATAGTGTTCTTTCCGGTCCTTTAATTCGATAATTCTAGTACAGTCTGTCGTAACCTCAAATCGTAAACACATCAAACGTTCGTTGACAGTTCCTACATTTGATAGCGAAAATTACTAGCCTCGCACTATCTTTGTTTAACACATAGGTTAGGTTCCTCTCTGTCGAATTCCGACCACAGGCAGTTTGCCGTACTTTCTAAAAGTAATAGTAGATCTAGTGACTTTATACCTCTTGGACCGGCCATAATCTTTATACTAGTCGGCCATGACCCAACATCCCGTATGATTCCGTAATTAACATGACATTTCTTGTTGACAAAACCAGACAAAACGTTCACCGAAAACCTTAAAATGAAAAAGAAACTATGTTCTTCAAGGTCGGAGCACCTTCAGTGACGCTAGTGACCTCTTTATGTCGTTCCGTAAGCTCCCCATGTATTTCTTATGGAATCAGCTGACAGTTTCATAGCCCTGCAGTTATACTGAAGCAAGGTTTTTATTGGCATCGACAATTTAAATTTGGCGCTTGCCTTTGGCGGTTGAGGACTCCAATGTCAATAAGGGTGGTTTTGCAAAATCAGCCTCTATGTCGCTTCTCTATGTTCTCTGGTAACAGTTCCGAAATACCTGTTCCGTCAAATACTCCCCACCCCTATTTAATTGGTTCAATATATGGTTCAATATGTTCTCTGGTTCAATGCAGTGGTTTTGCTCCTGGTTTTGCTTTGCTGACTGACAACAAAGTAGGAGCGACGTGACAACCTGACCGAGTCGTGGAGCGAAAATTTATTTAGCGTTTGTGTTTAATTCAGATCAGTTCAACAGATCAGGATTTTTTGAAAGGTATACAGGATATGCAGAACTTTTTATTCACATTCAAACTAGTTGATGTTAAATAAATGTGGTTAGCTGCCGACATTATTAGAAAAATTAATTATTTTAGACCAGTGGATTTGTCCGTCCAGTTCAACAGAATTTTTGCAGACGATAAAAATGACAAAGAAACGTAAGTTTTCAGCCAACATAAGCCCAATTAAAGTAGAAGTAAAAGAAGAGAATGTTCTCGGAAACGATTATTTGATGGCAAAGGGACGCCTTAAAGGTGTTCTTAAACAACTTACTGAAAAGAGTGAATCAGACAGCGATTCTTCAGACGAGAGACAATCTAAATAGTATGACATTTTTTAGTTCATTATCTTTTATTACTTTTGTAAATAAAATAATTTCAGTGATAATCGAAAACGCAAGGGAGAAACAATTCCAACCCCTTATCGGCATACGTATGTAATGAAACTCTTTGATCGTAGTGTAGATTTGGCTAGATTTGAAGAAGACACACCTTTGTATCCCATTTGTAGAGCTTGGATGCAAAATCAACCCAGAAACCCACAGTTAATTGTGAAGTAAGTTGGTGACTATATTTAGCTTAAAATAAAGTACAATTTTATTAATTTTCAATATAGGCGCCGATTTTCCTCTCCAGAGGCAAATGATATGCCTTGGAATGCAAATATGATAACAGACATACATCGATTACCCCCTCCTGTTGGTCCTGTGCAAAACCGAATTCCATCACCTCTTCCAGAACAGCTTGAGCAAAATAAAGATAACATCAACTTAAATTATGTAGGTAGCTATTGAATTAAATATGTGTTGACTTACATAAATTAAAACTACAGGAGGAGTGTCCACCTATTCCTAAAGATACTTTAATACGTAATCACCTACAAAGGTGGGTAAAAGTGAAGAAAAAATGGATTGATACAGCAATCAGAAATGAAGATAGATATCACACAAGTATGCAAATACTTCAAACTATTTACAACAAGTAAGAAGTGTATGATTAATAATTGTTTTCTATAGTTCACATTTTAGGGCACAAGAAGCAATGGAATGAAGTTTATATTATTTACATTTTCAGGTTAAATTTAGTTTCTCATAAAATTAAATATACTCCCCACAAAAATTATAGCACCACTTTCAAAATTTTGTATATTTCCAATTTGAACATACACAGAAGAATATTGGTTGAAATCACATTAAATATTGTCATTATTTGGCATTGTCTTGCATACATTTATTCATGATATGTATATCTTAGTGGGTTTATCCAGCTGTACTGTCTATGATGCATTTATGGTTTCACGCTGCTACAGATGCAATGGTTTCCATCACGGTAAAAATAGTTGCAAAAATGACATTAGCTGTCCCCTGTGTAGCGACAAACACTCGGTAAAAGAGTGCAAAGCTGACGAAAGTAATCGTAAATGTCGTAATTGTGTAGGACTTGTTAAAAATCAAAAATGGGATGTTAAATATGATCATGCCGCTTGGGATATTCATAAGTGCTTTGCTTATAAATATGCTGTGGCTAAAGTTACAACTGATCTCTTTGGAATTCCAATCAGTTTAACTCCTGATAGAATTATTAATGCTGAAGATCAGCATAATTCAAATTTGATGTGACTAGATGAATCAAAACTCTGTGCTACTAAACAGAAGTGTCTAAAAATGTCATCTAAATGGTCAATCAAGATTTCATTATTTCGTTGATTATTTCTCTGAAAATTCTTTTGATATAATCACACTTTCGGAAACCTGGTTAGGCTCATCTTCCCCTACTGAGTTATTTCATATCGATGACTATAATTTTATCCATCTTGATCGACATGGGCGTGGTGGTGGCGTAGCTATGTATATTAAGCGTGATATAAAATACAATGTCCTCCCAAACATTATCCTTCATTCAGTCAGGTATGCAATTGGTTCATTATATCGGCGTCCCGATGACACTATCTCTTTCCTTAAAGATCTTGAACTTATTTTGTCTCATATGTACTCAGAAGCGGATCACGTAATGTTTTTGGAAGATTTAAATGTAAATTTATTAAATGGTGATGATAAGATACTACTTCCTCTGCTAGAAAGCTTAGGATTTTCTCAGATCATTAATGAACCCACCAGGATAACGCTCTTTCTCGTCATTGGTAGATGTAATTTGTGTTTCTAAAGATATTAAAGTCTTTGAATTCGGTGTTCAAGATATGGACAACATTTCGGACCATAGATTAATCCACTGTAAAGTGGATCTTAAAATGTATAAACAACCCTCGGTCCCATATTTCATAAGAGATTATAGTTTGTTTAATCTTGATGAATTTAACTTTGACGCAAATAGTGTTAATTAGACTTATGTAGAACAACTACAGGACCTGGACCAGAAGCTTGAATTTTTAAATAAAGCTATTAAAACTATTTTTGACATTCATGCTCCGGTTAAGCTTGTTGTTAATAAAAATCGTGTACGTAGACCCTACCATGGTAGAAGGAGACTCTCCTTCTACCATGGGGACTGCATAAATATTTAGTTTATTGATTACATGTAATACTGTACTCGTACTGGTATTATACCTTTTAGTTAATGTTATGTTTTTCTTATAAACAATGTAAGTCTTACCATTTGTAATTGGCCAGTGTGAAAAGAATCGCACTTTTTTTTTTCAAAACGCACTGGAATACAGTGGCGGCTCGTGACTATTTTGGTTGGGTCGGCCAGCAGTGAGTAACCCAAAGTTTTAAGACATAGAATACAAGAACCAGGGACCTCAAGTCAGTCATTATCTATAATTTGCTTCCTGTATGGTGTTAATTCATATAGTCCTAACAACTTGGTAAAACAAAATAAAAAATATTCTTCAAATAGGTATAAAGTAAAGCATATACTTATACAATATAAGCCATCTATAATAATAAAATAACGACAATAAACTCAAATAAAAATGAAAATAACATTCAAGTTATAAAGTAACACATTCTAACAAAAAATATAACATGAAACGTCAACAACTATTTATTAGTAAAAAACAAAATTAAAAAAGTAAATTAGAAATTTTTATAAACCAATTCAATGCGTCTTTGTTTTGTATTGGCAAAGTGGTCAATTACTTGATTATAGAACTTTTGATCTTCCGTTAAGTTTGTAAGCACTTCTTTTTCTATTGCTAAAACGAATAATTTGGATAATCGATTTTGATTAATGGAGTTTCTAGTAAAATTTGTAATTCGCTTTAAAGCTGAAAAACTGCGTTCAACATATGCTGATGTGGATGGTAGGTATATGATTAAAATTAAAGACAGAAATAATTTCGGAGGCTTCTACATTTTCGTAAGTAGCATCATCAGGAGCAGGGTTGAGAAATTAGGAAGATGGCAAAAGAGCACGGTAACTCAATATGTCAATCGTACCAGACGACCAGAGGCAAAACTCTTTTTCTGAAGTTTTTTTGAATTTATTGTCAACATCATATTCAAAAATTAAACAATATCAACAAAATAGTTTGTTTTTTGACTTGCTCCCCGTCAGCCATTCATAATTTTCATACCATGCTGTATTAATTATTAATTATTAATATGCTATTGCACCGGAGCTGACGTTATTATTGCTCCGTGCTTCGATTAAATGTTGCATGGGCGGCTCCGAACGGGTCATTTCTTTTATATCCCAGGAATTAATCATCGTATGTTAAAAGTCGAAAGTCATTATTTAATAGATGTGTAACAGCATCAAAATTTAAATCAGTTACTAATTCTCTTACTAACTGTTGTCATTGTTACTGAAATTAGAAACAAACCTAAACCAATTTCATCCACGTGAAGACTGCAGAAATTCACAATATACAGACAGCGGCCGGCCGGTGCTGGTAGTGGGGAACCGCATGGAAAAGTGCACGGCAGAAGTGGAGTGATGAAACGTAATATTGTACGGTTTCATCGCTATTGCCTTCTAACTTATACAAACAGAAGGTGATAGCGCTATAACAACTTGATGTACTGCCAAAAGGCCGGCCGATTTTAGCAGACATTTGACCAATCACTGCTGCAGGCGCGTTAATCAGAGGGTATCAGACACGTATCAGTCTTTATAGCTATTTCTCTTTAATTCCGCTAAACAGAGAGCGATAGCAGATATGACATTATTCGACGTTTATTCTTGTAGTCGGCCGGCCTCAGCTGCTGCTCCTCGCAGTAAAAATATTTAAACTTCCCGGCACGATTTGTGCTTCCGAACGAAAGTGAATAAATTAGATAACGCTTTTTGTAATTAAAAAAATAATAACAACAGTAAAATCAGGTGATTTCAAAATAGCTTTAAATTATATTCTTGCGTTTAAAATAAAAATGAATATCGCAAATTGACAAGTTCGGTGACAGACTCGGCCTGGCCTAACTGGCCCCCCCTGACGAGCCGCCACTGCTGGAATATCAAAAACATACAAGTCAAAACAAAAAACTCTTTATTTTTATTTTTTACTTTTAGTTTTAAATGAACAAGTACACAGTGAAAAAGTTGAAATGGGGATTATTTTTGTGACCATAACCACTAAATCGAATCTGGCAACAAAAATAAAAGGAAAATCTGTTGTTGAGTGTACTGTGTGAATGAGCCTGAAATTTACGCACATTTGTGGTAATTTTAGTGGGTCAGTACTTTATACAGGTATATAAAAAAATGACTCAAACAAGATCGAACCGTTCAGGAGAAGCAGACACTATTTCTTGCAAAGAACTCCAAAAAAATTGTCCATAACATCGTTGCTGGTTCCACTCAAGTATTACTTCTAGACACGATACAGTATAACCATTGTTTAAGTATATTAATATACTTAAACAATGGTATAACTAAAGCTCTTGAGCGGAGTCTGCCTCAGGCGTCTATTGACTGCCACAAATTTTTACGACAGCTTAACCACCCCCACCGTTGTCTAAATACTTACCCCGATCTCTGTCTTGAGTAATACAGGACCGTATTTGAATTTAACAGAAGTGTTAACGTGCAGTGCAATCATTATCCTAACATAAAAAACACACACTTACAATTAGATATTACCTATATTATATTAATAAAGTTACCAAATTTTTATTATTTTCGCACAACTAACGAAACAATATTTCAGTATTAGATAAACACTCGTATCGTTAAACATTAAATGTCACTATCATCACTATTATATTGTGCTATTATAGTCATCCAAATTAATAATATAATTAATTCCGGTACTAGTAGATCTCTATAAATTTTTACTTCTTTAATCACATGACGCACACAATTAGACCAACTAGCCGATGTTATTTTGGAAACCTCTTCCTTGATAATATTTATTGTGTTTGGAGAGAATTTCGGTGCAGTATTGTTTCACCCTATGTGAGGTTTTAGTTTCAACCAAATTAGCTCAATCGGGTAAAAAACAATGATATGGGGGTAGTCGTAATATCCTGTGCCCTTCTTCTTCAGCTATGCAGTCAATTTTAAATGTTTTATTATGATCCTTGGTTCTTAATACTTCAAGTAGTTGTTTTTTTGGGTAACAAATCATTTTCCATTAGAAAGTTTTTTATTTCTTCTTTAGAGTCTTTAATTAAGGCCTCATAAAAATTAGTGGAAGTCAATAGACGCCTGAGGTAGACTCCGCACAAGAGTCTTGGTTCACCTATACCAGCAGGTAGGTATAGCAACTAGGTGCTCCAACTCAACGCAGCGGTAGAGTGGGATTGTTGACTCGTTCGTGCGAGAGTCCGGCTGGAAATAAATGCAAATGGAACAATTTCTTGGTGGAGTGTTGTCTCGACAGAACTTCCCTTGCACCTGAAGTACAATGAAACAGATCCAGCATTTTCAAAAAACTATAAAATTTGATTTTGTAGATATTATGTTTTTATGAGAACCCCTGTAAGTTGAAATAAACATTTGTATGTAATGTGAAAGTAAATGTAGAGAAGCGTGCAACGCGTATGTTTCAAATGGGTTTTTACTTGACAAAATTTTGTGATGACCTCATTAATATTTTTTGCAAGGATATGTTGGATAGATAGATTTATATCAACATGGATAAATGCAGTGTAATACTAATAACAGTACCGTATTCACAAATTTTCGGAAAAATGGAGTGATCCGTATACTGTGATCATACCACAGCATTCATATAATACTAATTGTACAAAAAAATAAAAATTGGTGGAAGTTTATTTCGGCAAAACTTCCTTCGCGCCTGAAGTATATACGTCCCATGGTTAGAAATGAATTAGAAACAAACACTGTTGCCAACATAAATCGAGGAGTCCTCAACCACAGTATCCCATGTGGTATACTGTGCCTCAACTTAGTCCTCAACCGGCATTTAATTTAAACTATAACGCTTCTTTATTTGATTTGGTTTGATTTGATTTATTGACGGAAAAACTCGTATTAACAAAAAATAAGTTTATAATAATAAAAACTAACTAATTAAAATTAATTCCTTAAGTAATTACATATGAATATAAATAACTATAAATTACAATTTAAATTAATAAATGATATATACTATATAATAATCAAATTCTTCCATAATAACTTGCAACCTAGTCTGGAAAAGTGATACCGTGCTTTGGCTGGAATATTCATTTGCTGCGACCATCATTCGCTTCAGTGGATGATTTTTAGCCAAATTCATTGTTGAAGCAGAAATTCTGAAAATGTTTGTACTACGAGTACTGCAGCTATCAATAGTGGGTACTAAGAATGATAATCTGGCTAATAAAAATGAGTTGTCTATACTATTGTTAATGACGCTATGTAAAACACAAGCATCTGAGATGCACCTATGAATGTTAAGTGTTTGTATATTAAAAGCATTCATAATCCAACTATAATTACCCCTCACATGACTACGACTTAATTTAAATTCTAAAGTTCGAAGAAATTTCTTTTGAACATTCTCCAACAATTGGCAGTCAGTACCTACTATAAATTGGCGACCAGACAGATGAACAACAATCGAAGTGCGAACGCACCAAAGAACAATAAAGGATTTTCAAGGCTTGCGGTGAAAGATCTTTTCCATTGCACCATACAAAATCCCACATTCTCAAGGCGTTTTTAGAAATGTGATAGTAGTGTCTCTTAAACGACAGAGTACTATCGAAAATAACCCCTAAATCTTTAATTTCATGAACCCTGGAAATAGTTTGATTTATCTACCCGATAATCAAAGATGGTACTCGATTTTAATTTCAAAAAAGATATAATATGGCATTTTTTAATGTTTAATGGTAACCAGTTATCGCCACACCATTCGAACAATTTATCCAGATCTAACTGAAGATGTTCAGCATCCTGAGGACAATCAATAACTTTATACAACTTTAAATCGTCTGCATATAACAAACAATTAGAATAACGAAAACAGGACGCTAAGTTGTTGATGAACAACAAAAATAGTATGGGACCACAATGTTTTCCCTGCGGCAGATCCGAAGAAACCTCAAAAGGCGTTGAAATGTAATTTCCAATGCGCATAATCTGCACCCTCTCCGAAAGAAACGATAATAACCATTGAACAGTCAAGTCTTGAAATCCTAGCTTACTTACACCAAGTTTCCCAAT